CCACCGCCAAACCCCCCACGCTGCACCGCTCCACCGCGCCCGCCACCCGCCCCACCGCCACCACCACCGCCAGCACCACCGCCACCACCCCCACCACCGTCGCTGCCGCCACCACCCCCTGTGCCGCCACCGGCCCCCCCACCACCCGTGCCACTCCCACTCCCGCCACCACCCCCGCCCCCCCCACCTCCTCCACCGTCGCCGCCCCCGCCTCCACCTCCACCACCCCTGCCCCCCTTGCCCCTGCCGCCCTTGCGTCTCCCACTAGGAGCAGACGCGACCCCGACTCTCTCAGCTCCGAGGAGGTCGACAGCAGCAGCAGATGCAATGGAGGGGAGGAGGGGGGAGGGGGAGCACCCCTCAAAGAAGGGGGTGCGGGGGTCACCACGAGAGGCACCTACAGCGACAATGCTCTTCTCAGCTGCTAGGAGCTCCTTCTCGAGGAGGTCGACAGTGAGGTCAGTGGGGGAGAGAGCGAGAAACTGGTCCGTGACAGTGCGAAGGGAGTCAGGGAGGTGGGTGACAAGGTGGTACAGTGTGAGGTACATCGGGGGGGGGGGGGGGGTTCTTGGCAAGGAAATCGGGGGGGAGTGCTGCACGGTAGCGGAGGTCACTGGTACGGACGTGGGTGATGAGGTCAGCTACAGTGGCAAAGGCGGACAGGTCTGGGAAGAGGTAGGGCAGTGAGAGACGGCCTATGGCAGCTGTGGCAGGGGAGGAGTAGCGCGCGACTACTGCGTCGTACAGCTCTTTGGCGGTCTTATGCTGTCCGAAATGCTCACGCTCATCTAACGGTAGGTGACTGCGAACGGCTAGGCGAGCGTGTGCATCACGGGTCTGCCACTGGGAGCGAGCAGTACTGTCAGCAGTAGCGGGAGGTGCGGGAGCAGCGCCTGACGTATGGTCATACAGTGAGACATCGTCCTTGGCAGTGATCTGAAGGATCAGGTGAAGATCATCTAGCCACACCTCAAACTTAATCGGGCGACCCTCAGCGTCAAAGGTGAGAATGGATGGGGTGGCCATTGTGGCAGTAGGAACAGTAGCAGTAGTAGCAGTAGTACAGTAGGAACAGGAATAGGAGTTGATGCAGGTGGGGCACAGTAGGTCGGCGCGGCTCGGTTCGGGCGGCGTGGCTCGGTTCGGGCGGCGCGGTTCGGTTCGGGCGGCGCGGCTCGGTTCGGGCGGCGCGGCTCGGTTCGGGCGGCGCGGCTCGGTTCGGGCGGCGCGGCTCGGTTCGGGCGGCGCGGCTCGGTTCGGGCTGTGCGGCTCGGCTGGGTCTGAGCTACGCGGCGGTGCGTGCCTAGGGGAGGGGCACGTGGGCGGCTATAGCGGGCGGGCCGGGGCCTTGTGGGCCTTACTAGCGAGCGGCGGGTGGCCTAGGGAGGGCGTCGCGGCGGCCTACGGGTGGCTCACGGGCGGCGCGCGACTAGGGGGGGGGGCGGTCGACGGGCTGCTCGTGGCGGCGTGGGCGGCTAACGGGCGGCGCGCGCTCAGGAACGGCCGCGCGCGGGCTGCTAGGGGGCGACGCGCACGAAAAAAAAGGCCGCGCGCGGCACTAGCGAGCCGCGCACGGGCAGTAGGTGAAGAGAAGGCGCACGAGGGCGCACTAGAGGAACGGCGCTCGAGGGCGCTAGTACGAAGTGGCGCTCGAGGGCGCTTCTAACGGTGGGCCCTTAGGTGAGTCCTAGGTCTAGAACCTAAGCTCTGCTACCATGTCAGAATGAGAAGTGATTGAACTATGAAAAGTTTGGAGTACAAGTAGCAAACCCTAGCTTGTGTACCCCCTAAAGGCTAACCCACTATAGCCTACACAACAATAACACATATAGTGTTTGACAGTAACAGCCTTTCACACCTAAGAAATACTTGACCTGAATTGTGGTGCAACGGTCACGAGTACCTATTGTAATAGCAGTGCTGTGGGGTCATGTCCCTTGGAGAAGACTGTCTTTGCTACCAACACAAGCCTGCAAAGCACATGTAAGAAACTAATCGAAAGGAGACGTAGACACTCCGATTCAACAGCTTGACTCACCTTCACCCAAAACTAGGTCAAATAAAGCCCTCAAGCTCACCTCAAAGGCAGTGAAGCGCAAACTATGAGTGATACATAATTTCAAAGTCAACTAAAGAGCCGTCTAGACTCTAGAGTCAACTACCGCAAGTTCTGGACATGACCTACAATGCTGAGAAGCACCAAATCCCCCAACCCAAGCTCACCTCGAAGCCGGTGAAGCTACCAACGTCCATCTTGGGCACGAACGGCTGCACTTGATGTCTGGGTTGAGGTGGTAAATTTCAATGTGGGAGAGAGGCGGGTCGGGCACGTTGCGGATGGACTCGCACGTCTCGGCGCTCTCTACAAAGTAATATTGTGAGCACTGTCAGAATGTGTAGTCTGTCTAGCCTGCAGTGGGGTACTCTATAGAGAGTACGGCCCCTTAGGGTTTCCTATGTGTATCCACCTGCTTGCTAGTGCAATCCTCTTTGCCTATTCATCATCCCTCGTCCTATCTTTCACATGGTATTCAGAGCAGGCACGTTCCTGCCGCCTTCCTTAACGGGCCAACCAACTAGCTTCCGCTGCCTGTCGTCCTGTCTCGCGCCTCGGGCGCGCGTCGTATTTTCGTCGCCGTGCGCCCCGGGCGCGCGGCGGCTTTCTGCCCCACGTCCGTGCACGGGCCTTTTCTGCCCGTCGCCCTGCCCTACAGGCCGCGCACGGGCCTTCCCTGCACCGGCGACGCCGCCCCTGGACCCCGCGACGCCGCCCCTGGACCCCGCGACGCCCCTGCAGGACCCGGGTGTCGCCCCTGCGGGACCCGCGCGGCGTTGCCCCTGCTCGTCGCGGCGCCCCCTGGACGTCGCCCCCGCCGTCGCGGCGCCCCTGGGGCGTCGCCCCTGCTTGTCGCGGCGCCCCCTGGGCGCTGTCCCTGCTCGTCGCGGCGCCCCCCTGGCCGCCGCGCCCTGCCTCACCCGCACCCTGCGGAGAGTCACTCTACAACGGTAGTGAGCTAGACCACGGGGGTTGGCACGAGAGAAATCGGCAAGAGTTTCCACTAGCAAAGTTGGAATTATAGAATGATCGAACAAGCAATGACAGAATGACTACATCAGGCACCTAGCAACCCTGCAGCTAGCCTGGTCGACCGCCAGCACATCTTGGTCGACCGCCTACCAGCGTTGCATAGAGGAGCCGCGCCAACACTGCAGAAAAGGCGACCTGCCAACAGAGCAGGTCGACGGCGTGCCAACGCTGCAGTAGAGCGGCTGTCCAGCGTTGCCCCGTAGAACACAGCAGTGCGCACGCTCGCAGGTGCGCGCAGACGATTGGCCCGACTTGCCTCGTTGGGCATCCGTCGGCTATTGTCTGCACCTGAAGAGCCACATCGACTTCGGAATACCAGCCCGAAGTTGCCTGTGCCATCGCGACCTCGACGACGTTCGCGTGCCTCCGCAGAATTCGTCGAGCGGGTTACCCGGTAGACCACCAGGTGCTTCCGGTCGACCACCACTGCTTCTGGTCGACCACCAGGTCCCTCTGGTCGACCACAATTATCGTCGAGCTACCCCCTGGTCGACGGACCCCTTCCGTCGACCGGAACAGTCAGCGGTTGTCGCCGAGCTCCCCTCGTCGACCGCTGCTCACTTGTCAGGTCGACAAACTGCTCCGTCGACCTCCCGGTCGAACTGCAGGTCGACGGGATGCCCCGGAGACCTCCCGGTCGAGCAGTAGGTCGACGGGATGCTCCGGAGATCTCACGGTCGAGCTGCAGGTCGACGGGATGCTCCGGAGACCTCCCGGTCGAGCTGCAGGTCGACGAAGACCCCCTGGTCGAGCTACAGATCGACGGAGACCTCCAGGTCGAGCTGCAGGTTGACGGAGGCCTCCCGGTCGAACTGCCCCTCCTGGCCGACGGCCCACCCGTCGCCCGGACCAGTCAGTTGCAACTGTCGAGCTCCCTGGTCGTCAGCAGCACCACAGCGGTTCCCTGCAGCTCGACGACGCATGTCGAGCAGCTCTTCCACTGTGAACGGTCGGCTGCTACTCCCGTACATCCGACCAAGTCGTCGGCGTTGCCCAAGCGAGGGCGGGGCCAACACTCCATTCCCGTTAACACGCCGCGCCTGCTCTGCAGCCCGCCCGCGCCCTGCCCTACCCCGCGCCCGCCCTTGGGGCGGCCGCCCTTGCCTTGCCTGCGCCTGCCCTCGTTGCAGCCGTCCCCGCTCTCCCCCCCCCCCCTCACCCCCCCCCCACCCTCCTTTGTCTCCCTGCTGCGCGTGCACCCGTGGACTAAAGGGTATGGGGTGGCGGGTCTGGGGGTGATGGGTGTGTGACCCGTCCCCAGCTCCTCCTCTTCCTTCGTCTCCCACTGCTGCAGCTGCTGCTGAGGGGGGTGGATGTGTGGGAGCCTTGGGAGTGGTGCTTGAGGGGTGGAGTGTGAGTGGAGCTAGGGGTTCAGCAGGGGGTGCGTGAAAGGGGTGTGGGAAAGTTGGGGGAGGTTGAGAGGAGGCAGCAGTCTTGTCGTCCGCAGCACCTGTAGTCCGGAGCCCCCGTGCTCTCGGTAGCCCAGCGAGCCTACTTCGCCAGTCGCCTGTGGGTCCGTTGCTCCTGCCGCTCGTCGTAGCCGCGGAGCCAGATACTCTCGTAGTCCGGTGCCCTCGAGCGCTCGGTAGCCACTATGCGCGCCGCTCCTGTTGCCCGTGTGTCTGCAGCTTCAGCCGTTGCCTCCCATCTTCTCTCCTCTCATAGTTCCTCCTCCTTCTCACTTGCCCTCTGTGATAGTCTATAGCTTTGCTTATATTTGTGAACTATGAACTGCTGCTTGTTTTGCTGATCATACCCCACTTTGACTATGGGGGTGTGTCAGAATGTGTAGTTTGTCTAGCCTGCAGTGGGGTACTCTATAGTGAGTACGGCCCTTTAGGGTTTCCTATGTGTATCCACCTGCTTGCTAGTGCAATCCTCTTTGCCTGTTCATCATCCCTCGTCCTATCTTTCACAAGCACAGCACCACCACCCCTGCCATCTCCGCCCGCTGCTCCACACACACCGCCTGGCTCGGCGGCAGCTGCCAGCTGTAGGCGCTGCAGTCCAACTTCGGGTTGAGCACCTGGAAGGCTGCCGTGCATTCGGGGGATGGGCAGGTGCCGTCCAGAGCAAGAGAGAAATAGGTCACCAGGGCCTCACAAGTGTTGCCCTAGGGAGAGACACGGAGGTGGCAGGGAGGGGGCAGGAAGGTGGTAGGGAGGGGAATATGGAGGGAGTGGGAAGGGAGAGACAGAGGGAGCAAGAAGAGTTTGGGAATTGTTATCTTTGATAGGTAGGCTGGCAGGGCCTCATGGGTGTTGCCCTGTGGGGCATGAGGGTCAGGTCAGGGATGCGGGAAGGAGCTGGGGATGTGAATATCCCCTCAGCACGCAATTCTCAAAAATAGCACATAGAGGTGCGTGCCTATGCGGGCGATGAATGGCACACGGTGCCATGTCTTACTACCTTGCCATGTTACCTGGTTACCACCGTTGCAAGGGTATCGAGTGGCAATGGCAAGAGACTGGTTTCCAGCGTTGGATGCTGGTCCGCTTGGTGGGAGAGCAGACGGCGTAGGGGGTGATGGCGGACGGTGCAAGGGCAAACCGCATGGGACTCACAAGCAGCTTCTGCTCTTTCCCTCCTATATGATGCATGGATACCACCCAGCTCACACCAGTCATCACCCACCACCCACCACCTACCACGCACCACCCACCACGCACCACCCACCACGCACCACCCACCACACACCACGTACCACCCACCACGCACCACCCACCATGCACCACGCACCACCCACCACGCACCACACAGGGAGGGAGGGAAGGAGGGAGGGAGGGAGGGAGGGAGGGAGGGAGGGAGGGAAGGAGGGAGGGAAGGTGGGAGGGAGGGAGGGAGGGAAGGAGGAAGGGAGGGAGGGAGGGAGGGAGGGAGGGAGGGAGGGAGGGAGGGAGGGAGGGAGGGAGGGAGGGAGGGCGGGAGGGAGGGAGGGAGGGAGGGAGCGAGGGAGGTGATTGGGTGAGGGGGAGGTAAGAGGGAGTGGAATGAAGGAAGCAACATGAGAGGAAACACTTTAATAGTACACGAGTGCACCAATATCCGCGGGATGAATTGTTCCATCACCCCTAGACAAGGGGGGAGTAGCGTGGGGAATGAACAGAGAAACACGCGTTGCACACACACAAGTGCATATGTATTCATTTACAGAAACAAACCTATTGTTGCATGGTGCGCTGTGGGCGGGAGAAGGTGCAAATCAAAGGCAACTTCTCAAGATTTTGGAAAAGAAATATAGACTCAAAAAAGCAAGCACAGAAGCGCGCCCGTTTTTGTTGCATGGCTTGTTCTAAGCAGAGTTTGTGTATGGGAAAGATGAGCTTCGAGGCGTCTCAAAGAGAAAGAATCCTCTAGAAGCACAGATTCGCACCAGATTCTGGTGCTTGAGTTGTTCTAGCGAGAAGCCGTAGATGGGAAAGACGTCTGAGCACTTGACATTGTTCGAGACAACAGTGCACGGTTTAGGGTTTAGGGGATCAAGAGGCAAAGGGATGCAGAAGGGAAGCAGGTTTGTGAATGTGTTGAGTGTATGTGCAGGAGACATGGCACCATAGGCACACGTGTGGTGTGGTTTAGGAGCGATCATACCATTAGCACAGGTGAGTTACGGAGCAGGAGAAAGTGCAACAGACGGAGGCACAGTTGAAGAGCAGTGCGTTAGCTGGCATGCACGCGGTATTGCAGACATGCATACCATAAGCACATGTGAGAGAGCAGGAGCGGGCATGCATGATACATACTAAAGGCACAGGTGCGTAAGCCGCTTCTGAGATTTTTCACAGCGCGAAATGAAGGAGGCATCATACCATAGACACAGGTGCAAAGAACCATCGGTGTTGATGGCCTCAACGAATCGGCCATCGGAAGTAGTGTTGTAGCATTCACAGCGGTTGGACATGCCATCAGCAGTCACCGTGCACTTGAAGTTGCCACACGGGTTCAACACGACACCGATCCTATCGTGGTGCGCCCGGTTGTTGCACGGATCCTGCTTGTCTGGGTGGAATGCGGTAGGTTGAGGTGGGACGAGGTGGGTCGGGGTGGGGTCCAGTCACACACCGAGAATCGCCGGGAGGGTGGAGTGGAGGGGGTTTAGAGAGGATGGATGGCGTGCTGAAGCATGTACGAATGCATTGACTTGTCTTGTGCTATGATTTCAATACATATACCTGCATGCTTGCTCTTACTAGGTTGTGATCACTGTACTGCTTGTGCATTTATAACTCTCCCTGAACTGGCCTTGTGGCCGCTTGCTTGTACTCAGACTACGTGGTGTTCATGAGATCCACCATGAGCTTTTCTTTGCTTCGTTCTCTTGCTTGAATGGTCTTGTGACCGTACGTTGTGTTTGCTATCCCCCAATTTGCCTATGGGGGTGTGTAAAATTGCATTTGTTATCTCTAGGTTGTAATGTGGCATAATTTAAGGAGTACAACATTTTAGGTCATTCCTCTTGTACTTACTCTTCCCCACTAGTCAATCATTCCTACGTTCTATTTTCTAACATCAAAGACATGCCCTCAGATTCACTTTGAGGGACGTAGAGGGATGAGGGTCCCTCTGCGTAAAATCCTTGATTGACAATGTCACCTAGAAAAAAAACCTGAAAAGTGTCACTTTAAATAAAAACCCTGAAGCATCAGTGCTCCCTAAGAAAAAAGGTTGTTTTTACTAAACCACATGGCTGATAGCTCTTGGTACACCATGCAGGAACGCAAGGAAACCCCCCACATATACAAAACATGGAGCAGAATGGGATGGGAGCCTGGGTGGCAGGTAGCACGGCTGGGCGGGGTGGATGCATCAGTGCTTGCCAGCACGACCTAGACGAAACGCGCCACAGAACCACATGTGCAAGCAATGGGCCATAAAAAATCGCATCGCAGCCTACCAGCATTGGTGTGTTGCAACCTTATTATTGGTCAACCCATATAATGCCAATGATCTAACCAGACGCGCCAACAGAGCAGCCCTCAAAATGAAAAAAACACGGGGCAAATTTGACTCGTAGTCACCGCCAGGCACTGCTGCTGACACCTCAGGAATCTGAGATTCCATGTACTTGCGGGCAACTATACTCGGAACATGTAGAAATTGTATTCAGTGTCAATTTCGGTACAACGTAGTGGAATCAGTGTCCTTAAAAAAAAAAAAAACCTAAAAGTTCAGAGTCATCTCGCACGAAAAGGCTGAAAAATCAGTCCCACAAAAATATGAACACTCGAAAATCAGGGTAGGTAAAAAACAAATCCCCGAAAATCAGGAATTCCTGGAAAAAATTCCTGATATATCGTAGAGCTTGATCAAAGACCAGACGCAGCCGATGGAGTACAAACTTACGCACCATCCCTCTTGTTGGAAACAAGTAATCTACGCTTCGTATGTGTTGTAACATCGAACCGTAAACGATGCAAGCTACAGCGAAGCAATGGCGAGTCAACTGAAGAGGCTGACAGAAAAGTAACAGCCGGAGGTTACGCGAAGGTCAAAGGTCAGCAACCTTTGACTCGACAAATACAACGCGACAGCAAGGACAAACAACTAACTCGATATTGAGCAGTTGCTCGAGTCGTCACTGTATCGAACCGCAACAACAACAGCAAAATGATTATTGCATCCTTTCATATTCCTTGTAATCTTATAAAAGCTTGTATTACTTCTTCATCATCAATCAATCTTGCTCTCACATACTAGTGCAAGGTGGTTCAACAAATTCATTATTACATCGCTTCCGCGACACAACATTCCTATCAGAGTCTTAGCCTTGAAAGATCCTAAGGGCTTTTCTCAGCCCAACATGGTATGAGAGCTGACAAGGCAAGATTCAACTTTGCTTAAACTCCTACAACATCAGAAGACATGGCAACAAAGAAGGAGAGAAGCTCCTCTAACGGCTCTCCTGGTACTACTACTCCACCTCAAGCCTCTGGCCTACAGACACAGGGAGGCACGGCGACAAGACCAGCTGTTGAGTCCACTCAGACTCCCGCAAACCAAACGACCGGCTTTGACCCAAACATGATGGAGAAGTTCTTCTCCTTCATGTCCTTCTACGAACAACACCAGCAAACAGCACCTGCATCATCAAACAACAACGACAATAACAACTGCGTTACCCCAATGAGTCTTGACGACGCATCCTACGCACGCGGAAACCAACAACAACCTACCTTTGCTCCGTACAAGCCTCAACGTGGCTCCATCAGCTTCATGCCGCACCAACAGCCTCCACCTGGACAAGAGAAGACACAGGACGCGCTTCAGGTTCAATCGCAGTTTGCACACATTCTGAAACTGCAGACAACAACACCCTTTGACGAGAAGGACTTTTATACCTGGTCCTTCGAATTCGAGTTGATGATGGAAGGCGCGCAGATCCTCGGATTCTTCAATGGATCCCTGCCATACCCAACATACAGGACACAGTACGACAAACAACTGTATACGTATCAGACGCTGATGGCATATATGATTCTCCTACGCAGCATCACACCGAACGAGCAGCAAAACATTCGGTCTTATCGTGGATACGGCAACTCTGCCGAGCTCGTGTACAACCACTTAAAGAACCTGTATAAAGCAACAGACAGCGTCAATCAGAGTTTTCTCATGGCACAGCTGACCACAGTGGAAATGAGACCCGGCGAAAAGGGGATGGCGTATATCAGCCGTTCTCGAGGACTGCGCGACAGACTCCTTCGATGCGGAGGATCGATATCCGAAGAAGCCTTCGCGACAGTCGTCATCATTGGTCTTGATCCTCATTGGCGCTCCACTCGAGCTATCCTTCGAGCTCATGGGAAGATCTCCGAAGCAGCACTCTGTGCCGAAATTCACGCCGAACAACAGGATAAGGACCTACACGAAGAACGACACAAGAAAAAGGCATCAGCACTTGAGTTCGCGTTTTGCATTCAACGGCGTTACAACAACAACAACCGACAGAACAAACATCAAGCTCAACAGTTCGTACCTCCATTCTGCCATCTCTGCAAGACGTCCGGACATGTGAAAACAAGAACGAGGACTCATTACATTGAGCAGCATGAGGAGTACAAGTAGGAAACCCTAAACTGTTGTACCCCATATGAGCTACCCCACTACAGCCTACACAGACTATAGCATATGAGTTTGACACACCCCCATAGGCAAAGTGGGGGAGAACAAGAGGTCACAAGACCAGTCAAGAGAAGCAAAGCAAGCTCTAGGTGGATCACGATATCACCACGCATTCTGAGCACAAACACATGGCCACAAGGCAAGTTCACATGCAGAGTTATATAGAGACTAACAAGCAATACAATGATCACAACCTAGCAAGTGCAAGCATGCAGGTATATGAGGAAAGATCACGGTACAAGTAAAGTCAAGAAGTAAGCAAGTGAGGCCCAGTGGGCATAAGACCTAGAACAGTACAGAAACGCTGATGATCACAAGGCTGAAGTGCCTTGGTGAAGATATCAGCCGTGTTGGCCCGAGTGGCCACATAAGCAAGACAAAGCTGACCACGCTGCTGCAAATCTCAAGCAAGGAAGTAGCGAAGAGTGATGTGCTTCATTCTGTGCTCCAGTCTGTGCTCCTGACACAAGGCAATCATGGCCTTGTTGTCGACGTACAGCACTGGAGGAGAACGAGGCAGCTCTCCGAGGTCGGTTAGCAGGTAGGTGAGCCAGCGTAACTCATGTGCAGCCATGTCCCCTGCGTAGATCTCAGCCTCACAGCTGGAGCTGAGAACAGAAGACGAGCGGGTAGACTGCCACGAAAAAGAACCAGAGCCAAGACTGAAAGTGCAACCCTGTGACGACCGCTGCGTAGCCAAGTCGTCAGCCCAGGAAGCGTCTGCGTGACCAGTGAGGACAACTCGAGCTCGTCTTCCAAGCACGAGCCCCATGCCCGACGTGCTGCACAAGTAGCGCAACACACTCTTAGCGGCATCCATGTGCTCCTTTCGGTGTCTCCCAGGAGCAACATAGCATGCCAGGATACTAAGAGGGTATGCCAAG